GATATAGATAGATAGATAGATATATAGATAGATAAGATAAGATAGATATAGATAGATAATAGATAGATAGATAGATAGTTATAGATATATACCTCTTACTCTTCTCCCGCCCTCTTATCCCTTATCGATACTCCCCCCCTCCCCCTAACCCCACCATTTCCTCTTCGTCCTCAACATCTTCCTTCACCTTGACCTTTCCCTCTAATCCCCCTCTCCCCTCCCTCCCCCTCCCATACCCTGTTTTCGCATCATTTCCCCTTCCTGTCCCTCCTCTCCTTCTCCCTCCTCTCCCTTCTTTTCTTTCTCTTTCTTTCCTTTTTCTTCTTTCTCCCATCATTTCCTTTCCTTCTATCTCTTTCTATATTCGCTTTCCCTTATTCCCTTCTTCCTCTTTTCCCTCCCTTCTCCTCTCCTCTCCTTCTGCCCTTTTTTATCATTTTACCCTCTTCCCGCCCCCCCTTCCCCCTCCCCCCACCCTTTCTCTTTCTCTCCTCCTTCCTTTACTCTTCCTACCTATTATTCTTACGCTTGCTCATTTCCCTCCTTTTCCCCCCTTCCCTCCTCATCCTTCGACCCTTATCCCCCATCCCTCCTTCACCCTCGTCTCACCCCACCCTCTACCTCGACCCCCCTCCACTCTCCTCCCGCCTCCCCCTCCCTCACCCCATCCCTCCCCCTTCCCCCTCCTCTTTTACACCCCCCCCCATCCCCCACCCCTCCCCTCTTTCACCCCACCCCTCCCGACCTCCTCCTCTTACCCCACCCTCTCCCCTTTCCTCATCTCCCCCCCCCCTTCCCCCCGTCCTTTCACCCCATTCCTCCCCCGACCTCACTCCTCTCACCCAACCCCTCCTCCCCCCTCCTCTTCTCACCCCATTCCTCCCCCGACCTCCCTCCTCTCATCTCTCCCCCCCCCCTTCCCCCCGTCTTTCACCTCCTTCCCCAGCCCCTCTCTCACCCCCCTACCCCCCCTCCTCTCACCCCCACCCCACACCCCACCCCACCCCCACCCCTTCCCTACCCCCCCTCTCCACCCCCCCCCACCACCCCTTCCCCCCGACCTCCCCTCCCACAGGTGGCGTGTTCAAGTATGCCTCGTTGAACAAGCATCGAATTTAAAAAAATATTGAAAGCAGAAATACACGTGGCTTTAATTAATAGGTCATGTTATGTTGTTCTAAAAGAAATTATTCATGATGAGTCGTTATGCTTGAGTGCATGATCATCTTCGTCATGTCACGCTTCATTACATCCTTGGTGGTTTGTGATGAATTATTTCGGACAACGAACGGATAAACAAACAAATTAAGAAACATTTGTAGAATTCATGTGCATTATTAAGATAATTATCAAAATCTCTCTCGTTGAGATTTTTTCGTTATAATTTTCATATCTTAGACACGTATCTTTTGATTATGTATTTTTTTTACTTTTGGATGGCTTGTATATACACACACACACACACACACACACACACACACACACACACACACCACACACACACACACACACACACACACACACACACACACACACACACACACATATATATTAATATATATATTATATATATATATATATATATATATATATATATATATATATAAATATATATTCCTCTCTCTCTCTCTCTCTCCTCTCTCATCTCTCTCTCTCTCTCTCTCTCTCTCTCCTCTCTCTCTCTCCTCTCTCTCTCTCTCTTCTCTCCTCTCCTCTCTCTCTCTATCCTCTCTCTTTCTCTCTCTTTCCCTCTCTCTCTGTCTGTCACCCCCCACCTCTCTTTCTCTCTCTCTCTCTATCCCCTCCCTCTCTCTTTCTCTCTTCTCTCCTCTCTCTCTCTGTCTGTCACCCTACCTCTCTTTCTCTCTTTCCCTCTTTCTCAGTCTATCACCCCCCCCCTCTCAATCTCTCTCTCTCTTTCTTTCTCTTCTCTCGTTTTTTTATATCTTTTGCATGATCAAATAATTTTCAAGACGCTCTTTCACCGTGTTTTACATTGTTATTTCTTATTTTTCTTGACCTTTGTTTTCTTCTGCACATATTTATACTCATGTGTCTTTGATTTTCTTTCTACGTCTTCGTATATCCTTTTCTTTTTTTCTTCTTTACTTATTTTTAAATTGTCTTTCTCTTCCTTTTCTTCTCTTCTACTTCTTCTTTTCTCCCTCTCCTTCTGCTCTTCTCCTTCTTCCTCTCCCCTTATTCTGTTCTTTCTCTCCTCCTTTTCTCTTCTTCTACTGTTCATCCTCTATTTCTTCTTCCATTTCCTCTTCCTCTTTACCTTCTCCGTCTTTATCGTCTCCATCTTCTTCCTTCCCTTTCCTATTTCCTCATATTACTCCTCTTCCTTCTTCTTTCATCATCTTCTTCTTTCTCTTCTTCTTCTTTCTCCTTCTTCTTCTTTTTCTTTTCTCCTTCTCCTTCTTCTTCTTTTTCTTCTTCTTCTCCTCCTTTTCTTTTCTGCTCCTCCTCCTCATCCTCCTCCTTTTCCTTCTCCTCC